AAACTACACGAAGTGTTACCGTGACACAAGCAATAGTTAAGATATTCACAAATAATTTTATCTCGTAAAAAAAATAATTTATCACCAACGTTACATTATCATTGACGTAGTCGTAACGTAGTAATAACATAGATCAATTAATAAGTGATAAATTTTATAAAAAGATTTGTTTTATTTTAAAATAATTATAAAATTTATGCATTATCAATTACAGCTTTTTCTTTAATTTATGCAAGAATATTAAGAAAAATAAAATTATCGCGATGCAAAATTAAAACATTACCTTCTATTATCTACGTTGAATTCTTTGTAAATCCTTATTTCCTTTTATAATCCGAATTAATTATATTATTTTTCGTATTTAAAATAATATAAAAATTTTATATCGTCACAATCTGAATTCTATATCTGAATTCTATAAAATTACATATTTATAAGAATATTCTAAAAAACATATTCTAAAGAAATCAGGTCATTGAAATCAAGGTTATCCTAAACTGATCGAAATACATTAATTCAAAGTAATTTAGATTAGGATTATTTTGAAATCGCTTAAAAATCGTTTAAAAATGATTAATAATCAATATAGTTTTTAATATGTTATCTAAAGGTTATTGCAAGATTATTAAAACTCATTCTAATTTGTAAATGTAAAATCAGATGGATTCAAAAAGATTTAAAATATCTATTTTAATTAAAAAATAAAAAATAAATTGTAATAAAATATATTGATGATAATTTTCTTATAACTATTTGAATTATATATTCACGATAAAAATCAATATAAATATAAGTTAATATCGCGAAACTATAATTATACAATTTTTTATTCCAATTTTCTTTGTTTTATTATTTTTTTTTATATTTTTTTTATTATTTTTGTTTTATTTTTGTTTTATTTTTTTCTATTTGTTCTCGTCTTCTCCTTTGTCGTTATTATTATTATTATTTAAATTAAGAATTCTTATATTGAATTAGCTATTCAAAAAATGTTTCAATCTCTTCTTTATTATAGAATCTAATCTATAAGTGAGATTTCTTCAAACGTTACTGAAATCATGTAATATTTTCTTCTCAATTTTAAAAATGAAAATTTCAACAAACAAATACAAACATAACTTGTTTTTATGTTTTGATCATGTTAGATCATTTTGCAAAATTTACCTTAAGAGTTGATATCACGTTGGCACTAAATCAGAACGTAATCATATATTGTGCACATTCAGATAAATGATTGCACAAATGAAATGGAAAAATTGAAATTCAAAATCTATAAATTATACGTTATAATCAAAATGAGTACAAAATATTTTCAGAAATGAATTTTCTCCTGGTAAAAAGAATAGGGAACAAACAAAAAGAATGCTTTGTTCAGGATAATTAGCAATGCAGTTGAATAACTTCGCGTTAACGATCAACAAATTGTAGTTATTTTTTTTAAATCGCGGTAACTTACACGCTTCGCGTATTTTGACAGCAACTTTTGTTCTTTTGTCTTGGGCCGATACAGGAAATATCATGTCCACCCTGACCTTATGTCCGCGATACCAACGGCCAGATATTCGTTGAAAACGATTGAAGCTCCTGCGAAATTAGTAGCCATTGTTCTCACGAGAATCTCGATTGATGATACGAAAAAGAATCCAAAAAATTGTAAGAATTTTAACGTTTCACCGAATTGTTGCCAAAGTTCTATCCTTCTTTCCTTTCCCTTTCATTTCTCGTAACAATTATTTCGATCTTTGATATTTCTCAATAATTCTAACAATTTTTCCGATAGTATTTCTGATGAAAATGATTAATATAATCTGATTGTTAAATGTTATCTAAATTTCTAATGTATTCTAATGTGTTCTTTTTTTCTCCATGTATAATAGTTTGCTTTCGAAACGTTAAATCTTAAGCATATTTAACTAATACAAATGAATTTTCACTTGTACACTCATCGTCTGCAAATGTGCATATTTACCGAAATAAATCTCTAATAAAATTTCTCTTCATTTCGTTAGAATGTGTACATATATGCACGTGATCTGTTAATCGCATTAGTAGACGTGTTATTATATATAATGATAACACAATTTCTTATAATTTAATTTTTATTCAGAAACTCCCACAAGTACATTTCTTAATATCAAATAAATATTAAAATATTAAATCTAATTATTACTACAATCAAATCAATAATACGATTCCATTATTTTTCTTTTGGTTTTTGAGTCGTATCTGACGATAAAGACGAAGAATCATTTTTTGTTTCTTCATTAAATTGATTGCCGTTGCACTGTACTTCCTCCTGTCGATATTCCAACGAGTGCATGTACTTCGACACCTTGATTGAAAATAATTACAAGGTCATTTAGTCGCAAGAACGCGAAGCTCGTTACTATGGATTAATTAAAATTTTTTGTTTTAAAACTCGTTGGAATCGATGTTTCGTGACCTACTTTTTAAGCTATTCCGCTACGATTCCTGAATTTAAAGCGAGAAATGAGAATTTTTCGTACGCAAGTGCGTATATGCATAATTATGCTCTTTTTTTCTAATTAGGATAAAAATTAATTAGGATAATAGTTGATTGGCCAGTTTAAATATCGATGGCTTAATAATCAAAGCCAAGGAATTTCATAATATCACATGGCAGACTAACACGTACACATATCTTAATATGAAACGAGAGGAACACGTTCGATCGAGGGCACAGGAAATGCTGCGATCTTTCCTTCTTTCCTTTCTTTTTCCTTTTTCTTTTCCTTTCGCGCTTATGTGTAGAGAAGACAGGCAAGTATCATGGATATGCACATATATACACGAGCATTATCGCGTTCCTGGGTTTAATACGCATACTTGCCATTTAACCGCGGTAAGAAATGGTTTCTGTTATTCAACGGCGCACGTTTGATTTCGATCTAATGTTTGCGATCTTTCCGGCATCGAATCTAGCGGGATTCGTAGCGGTAAAGGACGATTAATATAAGCAGAAATCGTACGTCAGGATAATCAATTTTTATCCCAAGGAACTCGGTCAGAGACGGAGAAAACGATGATGCGACTTGTATCCGATAAGAAGATTTGTATCGGCTATGTGTTTCCTTCGTAACAACATTGAAAATTAATCGTTTCACGCCTTGGATCGATAGTACAACGCGACACCGTGTACTTTCATAGAAACGTTAAGTCATCGCACAATTATTCTAAAAGAGGTTAATTGCCACGAAGCAAAGATAACTAGCGTTCATACATTTCTTTTGTAATCACTTGTTTTCTATCGAATTGCCGCGAAAAAATTTGTGAAGCATATTCAACATTTCCGTTTCGTGTCGTTAATTGATATCAAACCGCTTTTTGACCCCGTTGTACTCGATTGAAATTCGAATGTCTCGTACGTGTCGTTACGCGTATTGTGAAAATGTTATTAATTGTCGTTCCACAGGAGCAATATACATATAAATCGCCAGTCGAATAGGTACAACGCATCGCGTGATATGAACATCCGATATCTGAACACGCATCGGCGATGCAACCACGCTGGGGCGTGTAAGATTTTATACACGTGAGCAAGGAAGCACGTGAAACGAGGAGAAATACCAAGGGAACACCGAACTCTCAAGAAAGTTTCATCGGTATGATAATTAATTGTGCATTGACCGTCATAAATCTCTCTCATCTAGCCGCGTATTAAGCGAAATCTTTTATGTGAAACACTTTACACGATCAATGTGCACCCTAATGAGCGAACTCGACGCTATGAATTAATGATACGAGTGTTAGCGAGTTATTCCGATAAAGCAGCTTGCCAACAATTAAATCGAACGATGATTCATAACTTGGTTAAATTTGTATGATACGCTATGTTTTGTTCTTGATGCACATTGCTTTTTTTTAAGAATCGGTGATTAATCAGTTATAATACAGGTATGAAGTAATTTTGTTATACGGAATAAATGTTTAATTACTTGTTCTTCGTATTTCAAGTGACCCTTAAATATTCCAAACGAAATTAAGCCAATAATGGTCGTGAGGATTAATCTTTGTACCTGAACTTTGTCGTAAGGCCACTTAACCATGATATAACTGAAATGATTTCGCATGATTTTTAGATAAATGTAGTAAATATATGTATATATACTTTTTTTATTCGTAAATATATAATAAAATTCTTACTTTTAAAAGCATATTATTCATAATATTCATTTATATTGAATATTAACGTTTGATAAAATCAAAAATTGACTTTACAATAGACTTAGAATTTATGTCTTCATCGCGTGACTGAATATACAAGTCTTGATTAATTTCGAGATCGATATCGTTACTCTCTACTGTTATGTTCAGTGTTATAAATTTAGAAGCATAAATATACGAAATTTTTATTTGTAAATAGAAATTAAAATAGAATGTTGCGTGTTTTCGAAATCATACAACATAAAATATAAAAGATTATAGCTAATGATATAAATTGCATTCAATACTAATCTCGTATGCATAATGACTTTATCGTAATCCTCAATGTCGTTCAATATCGTGTTTATGGGTTCATTGATAAAAGATACGCAGACAGGCACGCGAAATTTCACCATTATTTATATAACGTTACACTTCGTCATTAGTTTTCTATACTTTTTTCTGTTTCTGATTCATGAAATAATCTCTATTTCAAGCTGAATATAGTCATCGAGTTATATTCGTAATTTTCCGATGAAAAAATATCTTCATCTATCAATCTACTGCTGGTAAAAATTGCAAAAAAAATTTTTAATAAAATTTTTATTTATAACAATAATTATTTGATATTTTCTTTATGTTAATGCTCTTTTTGAATTACTAAATCGATAACTCTTAATCATATATAAAAATGCGTAGATAATAAATCGTTAAAATACGTGATTGCAATAGAGGCGCCTCGAGGCACGTATAGTTTCAAATTTTGTCGTAAGATGGTGTTAAAATCGGAACAAGATGGCGTCCGGTCAATAGACGAATAGCAGGGAGGCCGGAGGCGCTCTCGAGGTTCGTGGGTGTTCTCAGCCCGGAGCTGGAGAGCCTTTAAGGCTGTATATCATTGACATTTTTTTCTCTATCGAAGTGAAATGGTCGACACGCGAGTGAAATGAAAAATGTTCCATAAAGAAGTGCATATTACGTATGCGTCGGCCTGAATGTGCCGTGTTTCTCGAACTCGAAAGATGCTGCCGTATAAAGCGACGACAGAGAAGGCGCCTTCGCGAAACTGTCAGGAAGATCGTCGTCGTCGTACGTGAGTCAGTGCGCTCGGTGGATTGAAAGAAGGCACGTACGTACAAAATGGCTTCGGGCGACAATGTGGACGTGATTGAAGTGGTTGAGACAAGCTTCACTGGCCCGGTACAGGTCACAGAGGATCATCTCCGACCGGAACAGTACACGGACGAGGACAGTGAGTAGCCCTTACCTTTGTTAAATTCTTCGTCGTTTTGACCAAGTGTCACGACCTAACCTATAAAAATAGCACGGTTCCAGACGACTATAACGCGAGCATCGTTTCTTTTGGTGTTAAGGGATTTGTGCTGCGAGACACGACGGAAAGATAGGCGTGATCGATCGATTGTGGCCGATCGGATTTTCATTTCGCTTCCGCATGCCCGCGTTCCGTCCTTTGTTAAGTCGGCAACCGAACAAACAGTGTATGCTCTTTCAGAGTTATACTGTGATTAATCCATTTCGTTATTTGACAGCTGATGGGTGTCACCCATTGCACTATATAGTAATGTTAACCTTGTAAAAAATGTATAAGAAATTCTTATTTCTTTTAATTTTTCCCTTCTTTCATTAAACGATATATAAATCATTGTTGACACTTCGAAAATATATATGAATTTTTTTTCCTTTTTCTTTCATATTTCAACTGAAATTGATTTTATTGAAAAGTCTGATAGAATGTGAATAAAGCTCGAAAATTTGTTAACATTGTAACGAAAGTTTTCAACGACATTTTCAAACAGAAAAGTTGAATGAAGCTATGGTAAACGCCTTGATCAAGGACTGAAATTTAATGATAACGGGAATAACGGTATCGAGACACATGTGCAATAGTGAATCCACACCGCAATCAGCGTGGCACGACTTTCGTTTTTGAACTCGGTTAACGTTCCACTTTCTCGCTTCTTTCCGGGAATACATACGATTGACTCGACCGGTCACTTTAAACGTGCGATTTTTTCTTTGCATGCGTTTGCATCCCTCCAATTCTAGCATTAGAAACGGGACTTTCGTTCGTTCGGCTACTACGTAATGTATATATATATATATATATATATAATATATATTATCGTGTATATAGAAGTCAAGTGTTATATGATCTTATTTTGTGTAACAAACACGTTATTTTTAATGTGTTACAGATAAATCTACAGGGGATAAAGTGACAACACTTGACGTAAGTAAAAAACACAATTCTACATATTTCGCTTAGATATGGTGATAATTGAGAAGAACTGTTCCATGCACGGATATATATAGATATTAATATTGACACTTGTACATTCGACTCCATATACGTCCGACGAGAGAAAGAGATAACTAATAAACAGTTTTACGTAGGCATATTTATCGAAATTCTTGAGGCTGCATTATTTTAATGATTTTTTGATTTATTTATTTGTAAATTTAATAATTGTTAAATATATAAAATTGTTTATATATGTAAAATGAATAGTTTTATATTTTTCTACCATATCCTTATTTATTTAAAACTAATGTGCACATATGAATATAATAGAATGTTGCATAAAACAACACTCTCGTTATTTGTATAACGTGCGTACATGTTTAAACACTTCAAAGCCGTGCACTTTATTTTAAAACAAAAAGAATAAAAATTCGGTAACAGAATAATATTACTAGATACGGAACTATGCTTCATAGATACAAGTGAATGTTATATAAGAAAAATCCTCGCTATCTCTGCATTATTCTTGCATTTTTCACACATTCACTTCATTCAAATTCATTGTTTCACTCGATAATTTTACCGCGTTCTCTCTGAACAACAATCCAACGATACAAGGTGCATTGATTCCTTGATTTTCTATATAACTATTGATCATTCGTTTGATTCACTCGATAATTTGATCGTTGAGGTCGATTCTATTTTCGTCTCAACACGCGTTAATCGATTTATATCGCGATGATCATTGATATATAAGATCATTGATATATAACGCATTTTTTAAATCAATTAATCGTCATTCATATTATCATGTATCGAAACTTTATAGAACAAACATGTAATTATTTTGAAATATTGATTCGATACAATAAGATGTTCGAGTTCAATTTGAGATATTCAGATGCGTTATGCCATGATTTTTAGAAGCGAGAATAGTTGTGTAATTATTCATCCGAATGACGCATGCCCGTGTATTTCTTCTTCGGGTGTTTCCTCCCGTGGCTCGGTGAACAATAAACATTCAACGGGATATTGGATCGGAGTTTTCATTTACTCAAGTCGAGTAAAATTTAGAAACTTTCTTGACATATTACAGAACACAAACGCGAATAAAATAAATAATTTTAAAATAATATAATATAATTGCCCAAAAGAGTAATTATTTGAAATTTTTCATTGATCTGTTATTTTGAAATTATTAAAATTTTAATATTAATACTTTTTTATATACTATTTTAATACTAATTTTAATATTAATACTTTTTTTATTGATTGAAGTGTAGTTCCGTAATTAAACGTAGTTGTGAATGAATTTTTTTTCTTTTTAAGAATTTTTATACTAAAAATGTCACAATTTCTTAATGTCACACTCGTTAAGATTGTATTGATAATTGTATATTCTTTCTAGAATTCGGTAGTGCAACATGGCACCATCGGGCCCAAAACCTCTTCGGGGGTATCAAGGAACAAATCAGAACGGGAGAGAAAGATTGGCCATAGAAGAGTTGGAGTGGGAGGTGAAATTACGTACAAAAAGGTATATTATAGTAAATATACTACGATGGCTTATTATTCCGTTAATAATTTGATGAAATAAAAAATTATGATAAATAAATGTATTTATTTATTCTTCTCTCTAATAACTCAAAAAAATATGAATGTAAATAATAATGAAAAGTTATCATTGATGATCTTTAATAGTATATTAAAGAAATGAAATATTAAATTCAAGAATAAATTAAATATTCTTATATGTCAATTGTTTAGATTCAAACGACACAAATTATGGGATCCATCCAGTTAGGTATTCAACATGCGGTTGGTGGTTTGGCCAGTAAACCAGAACGTGATCTATTGATGCAAGATTTCATGACTGTAGAAACGACAAATTTCCCAAGCGAAGGATCTAATCATACTCCGGCTCATCATTTTTCCGAGTTTAAGTTCAAAAATTACGCACCCATTGCATTTCGTTATTTTCGGGATCTCTTCGGTATTCAACCGGACGACTTTTTGGTAATTTCATATATATAATAATTCTATATTTGTATATAAATATGTTTCTTTCTCCTTCATAAAAGAATTACAAAAGAAAACAATCAATTTTTCATCTAATCAACAATGATATTTAACAATATCATTTGAATATTCAGATGTCAATGTGTAGCGCTCCATTACGTGAATTATCGAATCCCGGAGCTAGTGGAAGTATCTTTTATCTAACAGATGATGATGAATTCATCATAAAGACTGTACAACATAAGGAAGGAGAATTTTTGCAGACACTTCTTCCAGGATATTATATGGTGAGCTTTAATATCTTTTTAAATATTCAGTGATTTTATATTGAGAAATTTAAAATATGAAGAGGATCATTTTTATCTATAGAATCTAAATCAAAATCCAAGGACATTATTGCCAAAATTCTTTGGGTTATACTGCTATCGGTGTAATAGTAAAAATGTTAGATTAGTTGCTATGAATAATCTTTTACCCTCATCTGTGAAACTACACCAGAAGTATGATTTAAAAGGATCGACATACAAAAGAAAGGTTCATAATTTTCCGATATTTATATTAATTTTCTAATAATATCTATTTTTTAAACAAATTTTATGAAATATACATTTGATCCACAGGCATCGAAATTAGAAAGATCTAAAAACTCTCCAACATATAAAGATTTAGATTTTATGGAACATCATCCGGAAGGGATTTTTTTGGAAGCGGATACATATAATGCTCTAGTGAAAACTATTCAAAGAGATTGTCGAGTTTTAGAAAGCTTTAAAATTATGGATTACTCTTTGCTCGTTGGTATTCATAATCTTGACCAGGCTGCAAGAGAGAAAACGGTAAATATTACGAAAATAAAGAAAATATTTTAATTTATCTGTAACAGTATAATATACAATTTTTGTTATTATAGCAGGAACAAAGATTATTAACGAGTGCAGAGGAAGAAGTTGGTGAAGTTGGAGGTGAGAGTGCAGGATTCATTCAAGCAGAACGAGATGATAGAATAGGAGCTAGCGCTCTAAACCGATCGCGGAGTATAAATCGACAAAGGTTAGTTGCGCACAGTACCGCTATGGAAAGTATTCAGGCTGAAAGCGAGCCCATAGACGAAGAGGACGATGTACCGTGAGTATCATATTTTTATTTCCTTGTGTCACGATTATATACAAAACGAGTGCTCTCATAACGTGATTTTAATTATGTTCGTATTCCTAGCAGTCCAGGTGGAATTCCTGCTCGTAATGCTCGTGGTGAACGCCTGTTACTTTTCCTTGGTATTATTGATATTTTGCAAAGTTACAGGCTCAAGAAAAAATTGGAACATACTTGGAAATCGATGATACACGATGGTGTAAGTTGCACAATCCTTCTTTTTCTATAATTATTAATTTTTGATTATTTAATTTCTATTTATTATACAGATCACATTGAAATTATATACAATCATTCTTTCATTGCGTTTCGTATACTCTAAAGAATGTAAATTGTATTTGCTTGCAGGATACCGTGTCAGTACATCGACCAGGTTTTTACGCGCAACGTTTTCAAGATTTCATGGCGAAGACAGTATTCAAGAAGATACCGTCACGTAAGTACCATCCTAATCAACCTCTTCTAACAAATTTGACCTCAATGTTAACATTGAACAAAGCTCATTCTTAATTTGTAAGCAATTTTTTAATAAGTTCTTACGATTATATTTTAAGTTCATTAATATCGACTGACGTTTCTCCTATTTCGTCAAATCGATTTGGCTATATCTCGTAAAGCATAAAGTACAAGAAAAATTTTAGGCTTTAAGAGTAGAGTAGAAATTATAACGTCAAATATTTTTATCGCCAGCTAAACGTGATTAATTAAATCTTTCTGTTTATAGTAATAGAAACAATTACTGTGATTCAACTACATATTATATAATTATTATATAATTATATGCAATGTTATCGCATAATACGTTTTACAAAAAAAAAAAAAAAAAAAAAAAAAGAGAAAAGAAAGGGGGAAAAAAAAATCTTTGGAACATATTTTAAATGTACGGATAGGGAAATAGGGGTGAAGAAGAATTTGGAAAATTGAAATGCAAAGGGGTAAAATGCTCAAAAAAGAATGGTACTTATATATTAACGCGTATAATTCTGCCATTTACAATTAAGTAGCGACATAATAATCTTGTTATTTAAGGTTCCAGTTTGTATAGAGCTGTAAGCTATAAGCTAGAATTATTGATAAATATTTTTTAGCTTCCTTATTATATAATCGCTATCACTGATCGTTTAAGTTTATTTATTCGATTCAGTGAAACGTTATTTTATTTTGTCTTAATGCATGATAAGTTCAATATCGAATCAGCGGATTCTTCGATTATGTAAATCTTCTATTCCATAACAATTTCATTCGTATATTATATATCATTCCTTTATTTTTATTTTTTTATCTTATTTTCTATTTTTTTATTTACCGAAAAACAGCTGCTCGAAGCGAGAATGAGCGAATATCAATTTCTCTCTACTAAAATCATTTATCACAGTCAAATTTAGCCGTCCAGAAAAATTCTAATAATCGTAATAGTGACTTAAGGTAATTAAGTGACTGCAGAGAATGCGATAAATCCTGTGCGGATATCCGAAAATTATGCACGCATTGATTGCGTCTCATATCGATTTTTAGGAAATTTTTTAAAAGGAAATTTTATTTCAAACCATGTGTTTTATGCACACATGTATAGTATACAAAAATTATAAAATCTAGTTGGCTATCCCGATATCCATTTTTCGGATACCTGCATTTCCTTGATAATCAATGCTATCGATCAAATATCCTGGGTTTATTGAATGTCAGTTGGTCACTTTTGGGTTTTGTATTGTGGTGTAACTAATTGCTAACACGGCACACATATTTTTTTCGATAGGTTTATTTTGGTTCAGTTTTATAACGTTCTTCGATTCATTTATTATTTTGTTCTTTTCAATAATTGATTTCATTGTTCACTTTGCATTTCGTTTCGAAACAATCATGTTTTATCTTGAGATGTTTAGTAAGTAAAAATTTCATTTAATGAGAATCAAACCAATCCACTGGTGTCCACATACGTAGCTGAGTATTTTGTTGCCAGTAATCACGCTAATATAGAGCACAAATTTGCTAATTATGCACAAGTACGTAATGAAAGCATCTCGAGAAGCACTAGTAGCGATCAAAATCGAATCATAAGGAAAACGGGTCGATAATAAAGGATATAAAATTTCCGTGAAGAGCGTATTATTGTAATGGGAATTTCATAATATTTTACCATTGAGACATAGCCGTCCCTATATAAATAGAATTTGAACAGCATATATATACGTGTATCGAATGATTTTCAATCAAGTTTTCCATCGTCGAAGTTCCTTCATTATTAACGTACGAATGTGCCAAAGTTTTGTAAAACTATTCCCACGTTCCTAATACTACAGAATAGTAAATGGCTCGTGATCACAGAAGTTTCTATTTTATGAACACGCGAGAAAGCAATCACTGATGATTTGCTAAAGCCTGCTAATGAAACAATGTTATAGATCGCACAAGATTTTGTTTTAACAAATGATTTTTATTCTCTATGATATTAGATAAAAAATTTATTATATGGTATATAGTTCCAAAAAAAAAAATTACAAATTTTTATATACATTTATCATGATAATTTTTAAATATCAAATATTGTTATACAATTACGAATAATTTTATGCGATCTATTATGAACATAGAGGAGTCTTCGTGGAGTGTACAGTCGAGTATATTTTGACAAAGCTAGTTAGTATGGCATGGATGTATCAGAGAGAGTACACGAGAGAGAAAGAAAGAGTGTGTGAGAGTAGTATAAAATGGTAGAAGTAGACACATGTTCGTTTTTATTGTGAAAATATTCAGCTATTAGCTCAACGTGGACACCAATGTACATATTTATATATTTTGCAATAAACATTTTCGCTGTTTACAACTTCATTTCATTTATGAAGCCTACCCGTATATATTACGTTTATATTTTCTATATATTTTTCTTTACCATTCTGTATTTATTCTTTTTTCTCTCTATTTTCTATCGATATTTTTTTTTTCACTGGTTAATATTCTTCTTATTATTATTATCATCACCACTATTACTGCTACTGCAACATATTATTAATACTATTTAAATATTATCTCATCATCTATCGTAATTATTCACATTCTCTTCATTGTAGCCATTGAATCATCTATAAAGTTTTGTTTTATGCACCATATCTCGCGTTACACTTTATGTATTGTGTTAAATAACGTATCATGCAATGTGTTTGTTGTTTGCGTTTTAACGTTTTGGGTTTCAATCACGATTCGTTTCACTATTTGTACTTTGTGATGTGATTATCAAAGTACGATGATATCTATAAAAATTAAAAGAATCAATAAGATGATTTTTTGTCAATATCTTTCACCATCTTTAAAAAAAATAATATGAAAAATTCTTATTTTCTATTCCTTTATTTTCTTTTTTTTCTTTTAGTAGATAATCTTTTGTTTCAGGTAATGATCATCCCTTGTTTGACATCTTAACTTTTGTATTCAATACCTTGTTTCAGACATCTCATACGATGGAATTAAGATTATTCGAACAAAAAAAAGAATCACATTTCCCTTTATATTAACTAATTCGTATTCTAAAAATATGAGATATTATCTTAAGATGCAATTAAAATTCTTTTTATACTTTTTACGATAGAAATATAAATCGTCGTTTTACAATTTAATATTTTATAAAAAATATAAGATCAAAGAAATATATATATAAATCAAAGTTCGAATAATCGAACTTCCGACACGATAAGACGTCACTAATATCGTTTAATGGAAATCAATTCGCGATAGGTTACATATAATAAATGACACACTGTAATTATTTATTTGATCATTAATTCATTCACAAGATCATTCACAAGAATGATATTCTTGTATCGCCGCTTTTCTCTTCTTCTCTTTCTCTCTCTCTATCTTTCTATCTATCTATCTTTTTAATTCTATCGAGGCAAGAACGTCGTATTAACCCCGCTTTCCTTTGTGTTGCTACTTTGATTCTCGGCAGTCCCTATGATCTATCGATCGTTTTAATAATCCGGTATATATTAAAGATGTTTAAGTACGGAGTTAGCTAAATGTTGATGTTTTTGTGTCCCGTGCACTTCTTTTCGTGTCAACCCCCAATGACCTGATCTGACCTGCTACCGATCGAAACTCGAAAATCGAATACCAAAAGTGGACCTGCCTGAGATTAAGGGGAATCATCGCAAATTCCGTAACCTCGTCACCAGCTACATAGGTAACTTTGTCTGTCTGTTCGTCCATCTGTCTGTCCATTTTTGTATGGTTGTATGTTTGTTTTTTTTTTTATTTCTCTCTCTTGCCTTTTTTTTTTTAATTTTTTAACTTCTCTTTGATAAATAAACGTCGAACGTTTATCTGCTTGTATGCGTATACTTTTTAATCTATCTCTGGTGTCGATCTGGTTTGTTGTTCCTTCGAATACCTTGAATTGCTTCACGATCTATCGTGTTGCTAATGTTTTTCTTTAATATTTTTTTTCCCTTTTTTCTTTTTTTTTTCTTTCTTTGTTTCCTAATCTATTAATTATAAAATTCTTTCTATTTGCATCTCGTCGAATTTCTACTAATTTAGATGCTTTTCTGTTTTTTGGCAAATACAGTCTTTGCTCAAAGTGAGTTTTTCTATATCAAGTTCAAGTAGAAATTGATACGTAGAACGTTGAGAGTATTAATGGTTTTTATACATCACTCCTATGTCCATTATTTGGCATGTAAAACCAATCTTTTTTATAGTAATTGTAGATGCGTTATCACACGTGTACATTTGTAAATAGAAAAGATTGTAAGTGCAAAATGCTTTCTTTTTTGCAATTATTAATTTTTCTCACTCTTTATTTTTTCAATCTTGATCTTAACACTTTCGAATTCGAATGAGATTGCGTTTCCTTGAATATTATATTTAACACTGATCTTTTGTGATATGCTTATTGTTCGTAAATTTGAAATATCTTTCTGAACTTGTTTTCGTTTTCTTGTTATCCGATTCACTTCTTTAATCTCACAAATATTATGCCAATAATATTTCATTCTCCCTTTTTTTCTTTCACGAAATTCTTTTCCAAGTATAATATTTACATTCGAAGATTTCATCTTGCAACGCTTCTTTGATTGTCTTTCTCACTTATCTTTAGTCGATCTTTCCAATATTTTACCCAAGCACATGTATATAAACGTAATCGTACAAATGTAATTTTAGATATTTGCATTCCCCAATTTTTATCCACTGTATAGTACAAAATGTACTCCGAATATATTTTTGTCTTTTATACCGAGAATATGAATATCTTGTATCATTGGCAAAAAAAAATCGGAGTACAAAAATTATAAGAAAAAATAATCGAGATTTTTTTATCGATTTTTCAATTTTCACTCTGCTTTTGCATCGTGAGTTTTGTATGTCTGGTTGGAATTCTCTTCCTTCGTTGTTATCATTTTCTCACACTTGTCTCTTTCTCTTCTTCTTCTTCTTCTTTTTTTTTTTTTTTTTTTTTTTTTTTTAAGCTTCAACACGTTCACAATTTTTCAAGTACACTAAATAACTACCCAACTCTTGATCGATGACCCTTTTTTCCCTATCTCTTTGCGCGAATCTAGGTCACTCTCCTTTCAAAAAGCATCTAAAGAACAAATATCTAATCCCTGCTTATAGTCGCGTCCGGATTTTTAATATTTTAACACTCCCACGATCTGGATGACATATATCAGAATTTTCGTTAGGAATATATTTTTGTCTAAAAATACATATGTATACACATGATGTTCACACGTCCAGATCTTAATCACAATAACCACGAATTAAATCTTGTTATGAAGCACATTTTTAGATAACGTATGAACCATACAAAAGTAAAACTTGATAAACTTATCGAAAAAATCGCTTAATTTTTCTTGAGATAGATCTAGAAACTTATAAGAAACTTGATATTTTACTGTGTTAGGTATTTTTTCGAACAAAATCATAAAATCTATATGAATCTAAATCAATATTTAAAATATAAATTAAATTGATAATCTAAAGTTTTTGCATTCTCTTTGTAAGAGTTAAGATAGTTATAAAAAGTGGAAATCGATTAGTTTAACTTCTGATTGGTTCATAAATGATCTGTGAAAAAAAGAATTATAAGAGTTAAGAATATGTTTTTCGAAAATTTATTCTTATCTCAAAGACAAAATATTGATAATTGAATCAAAGATGCTCACATGTGTAGTTGCGAGTCGAATTCTATCATCGTTTTTTCTCCAGTACCAGAATAATTTTTCCCAGATAACATCGAGAATCGCGGCTCGTTTTAATTAACTTTGTTGTCTGGATTCTAATCAAAGCTGAACACAAGCCAATACGGTCTGATAAAAACCTTTAGAGGCCGTGGCTACGCGTGTTCGAGCGATTATAATTAAATGTTCGTCGATCGTGATCGAATGAACGTTTCTGAACATTTATTCGCTACAAGATGTCATCGTAATATTCATGTACGTATATACAAAAATGTACGATGTGTGGATAAAAAATTCATAGATATTTTTTATTTTTCTACATAGCAAGTACAGCAATATATTTTTCTTTCATTTTTTTTTTTTTTTTTTTTTTAAAGAAAAAATATTCTACGATCTTTCTATCCACATCTAGTAAAAAAAGGCAAGTATAACGAAGAAAATGTGACGTGTATCGCAGAAGATACACACAGTATTAATTATTAATTCTGATGAAAATTAGAAAAAGAATTTTCATATAATTTGAATAAGATAGAAAGCTTTCGATGTTGTATCAGCTTTACCATCTATATGTAATAGATATTGACGAGTTCGAGATTAGACGAATTCGAGGCGAATCCCTCGTTTTGAAGTAGTATAGCTTCGTTTAAGCCCAAACCCTTGTCCGATAACGTAGAGAGATCAAAGAAGCGTAGCTCCAAACGTTATGGAGAAGAAGTTATTAGACGTAGTCGTGGCAAACAGTGCTGTAGCGAGATTTATTTGATAATAAATTGGGATTATTGGGAATTGAATTCGAAATTTTGCGAAAAATTATGATAATCCTTTCGATTTTAAATTATTTAAAAAGTAATCATACGAAATATTCGAACATTTTAAAACTTAAGAATAATCGAAGTCAAATGGAATAAAACTTCTTTAAAGTATACACCGATGCAGTCGCTATTGAGAGGGTTAACTGATAATCAAAATTTTAATCGAGGCGATAATGATTGCCAAACGACTCCATTATACATTAATCGCGGTATCGTGATAAATACGGTGTGAAAATAGAAAGTCTGCAACGCAATGAGACGTGCGTAATGCGTTTCGCGACTTACATGGTGTACACGAAGCGCAGCGAGAACTTTTTCAAAACAAGTATTATACGACGCTTCATGCATAAGCTAACACTTGCTACGGTACTGACGTCAGCTTTTGTAGCGTTAACTCGTTTGATACATCCCCTCTTTTACGATACATAGGCACAGTTCTCAGACTCTTTTTTCCAATTAATCGTTCCGATTTCCATCAGTATTTATCGATGTTTTCAACCCTTCAACCCTACATCGAGTATCGCGGTATTAATAACCCGTTGATTTGTGTTTCAGCATTGAAACATTCCCCGTCGAAGAGAAAAAGCATAACCAGGCCACTCAGGCCGTTGGATGGAGATTTCGATTCAACTGGTGAGTCTATTCGATCGATAGAATATCTTGGAAATTTCCTTTTTTTTTTTTTCGAATATTTGTTAATGATCGATTTCGTATGCTTCGCGTGGTCCTTTGCGACTGGTTCTACGATTTGCGGACTAGTTCGATGATTGATATCTTGTTCTATATATATTTTTTTTTATATCTATTTAAATTTATTCAAAAAGAGAAAGATAAGTTTAAAAAAATTGAGTATTCATTTTAAATATAAATTAAATAGAATCTATGTCAATATCTTATCTCTATAAAATCTTTTTGGAATGAGAGTCATTGTTGATTATTTGCCATATTTGAAAAATTGAAGTGAAATTTGCGAATTGAAATTGGGACAATATAATTACAACGGAGTTAAAAATTTGCATTCGATTAGTAATTATAAAATAAGAGATCATCTGGAACTGATCCGAGTCGAAAGATCGATCCTGGTCCGAAAATCGTGCAGATGAAATACGAAAGAACATTTTCCACAATCTTATTATTGGCTTTGCGCTGAATTTCACATGTGTAGCCAGGCACAGCGATCAGAGCAATAAATTTAGATCCTGTCTATCAAAGTTCCCTGTCTCCAAAACGTTCACCACGATTCCTGTCATCCCTGATGGTACCAAGATATGTTATTGAACCATCTCCTATCAGCCATTTCCTTTGAGAAGATAATCTCTTTTACGAAGATTGCTCGTGCGTGCTTTCACGTGTTAAAAAGGTACGCCTATTCCGTGTCGGTAGATAATTTCTCGTAACATTAATCTTAATCCCTTAATCTCTCTATATGATAAATTTTCATTTACAAATTGTTTCTATCACCGAAATTTATTTAAAACGATCGATTCAACTTCGATACGAACTTCAAAGTCAATCAAATCGCGTGACAATACCGTATAAATCTGACAATCGAAAAGATTAAAAAATTTATAATATCGTCAGCAACGAAAGAAAGAGATTTAAAAGTATAATCCAATACTATCGTAAATTATTATCGACAACCCGTTATGGCTTTATCCATCTGTCCATACGTATCCTTCGAATTCCGTCCGATTCTGTCTGCAGACGCATACAACGTACAAATACAGCTTTCTATCGTGAATGTCAGTCGAATGCGCGCATTCCGATCATCGATTCCCTCTCTATTTGCCTCGAACGTCCCTTGCTCGAATCCCTGTTTTATTTCGGGACACGTTCGATCCGTGACTGGACAGAGAGACTTTAAAATCGAGAAACAATGATCGACGTAGAGATGATCCGTAGTTTCGAGAGCAATGAGTGGTTTTACATTACACTAAATCGTGAAACGTCGAAAGAAAGAGTCGGAAGTTTCTCTGTCTGATCAAGAGTCGCACACATGGTGATACGGTAATGGTACATGGTGTTGTATGGTGGTTTAGCGGTGCCGACAACCGGAACTTCGACAATGCATGCTACGTCACCCACGAAAGCTGGTGAGTCTCATACGATCACTTATTTTCCTAATATTCCATTTAATTATTTCTTCGATCGTTATTCGCGGTCTCTTTTGTTTTGATTAAACGTCCATGAAGATCTTTTGAATATTTATTTCATCTAAAAAAAAAATATATATATATATATATATATATATATATACGAAATAATAATATAACAACGTGTAAATAGGAATTGCGTAATGAATTTAGAGCGATATCTATTTAGAGACACGATTAAATTGACAACTTCCATTGATAAAATAATCTTAAATCGTATTAATCACTCGTTATTCTACTATTACATATTACACGTTTAATATTTTTCTCCAAAGAGTTGTCACGTTGCTTCGAAATCACAAACGATACGAAAGAGTCATTTCATTTCAATCTAAGAATAAGTTATCCGCGAATCACCGCGGATATCGACGCAAAAAAAATTGTTCGATTCGAGAATCTCGAAGCAACGTTACACGATATTAATCACCATGCGATCTCGCTCACCCAGCTTCTCTGTTTCTGTCTGCCCCTCTATCTATCTATCTCTCTCTGTCTCCCTACCCCCAACGTGTTCACGTCATCACTGTCGGTGCACCTCTACGCAACCCCCGTATTCGACGTGGCACGACCTTGGAAACAACCCTGGACGACACGATAACAGTGACCCCGACAGACCCTGCGATCAGCACGACCAGCACGGTGATGTCGACCAGTTCCGCGCCAATCGCCACCTCCACCCCGGTTAACTTCGCCGCGGGCCCTGTGAGCCCGCCTCCGTTGACCTTGGCCGCCGGTCCAGGCCCCCCTCATCAAGAGCAACCAGTGACCACCTCAGCGGCCAAGGTCACGAGCTATCCAGCCGTCCTGAAGGGCAGGACCGCCGCCAGCCCACCGAATCCGAATCTGGTACCTTCCGGCAAGATTCCACCTCCCGTTCCCCCAAGAGGCACCGGCCAATCGAGGACCGCGAGGTCCTCCGAGGAGCACCGTGGCCCCGGAACGGCCACCTCCACGTCCTCGATGACGTCCAGCCGAGGTGACGAAGCAGCCATAATCACGAGATACCGCTTGCATGAAAGTTCGAGCATCCTGCACCACCTCCCCACACCCGATTACATTTCTACATCTACCGTTTCTGCTGCGTCCGCCGTCACTACTTCTACTACTACTAACTACTCTGCCGCTACGTGTACCTCTTCTCTCTTCTCCGCCGCCGCTGGTACCGCCACCACCACATCCTCGTTCACCACGACTGCTAACAACACCGCAAACCGTCACTCCGATTATAACAATACTACAGCCACCGAAACATCCACCACCTGTACATCCAACGTGTTGCATGCCCGTACTCCTGCCTACCTACCCCCACGATACGACAAATTGGCGTTCCACGATCGATCCGCCGACATGGCGGCAGCCTTCGATAGCATCCACGAGGAACGGTCTCCGATGTACTGGAACGATTGGCCGATCGAGAACATCTACGAGGAGGAGGAGGAATTCATGAGCATAGAGAAGGTGGACGACTCGTACGTGATCAGGACTAGCCCGTATCCGTTCAGGCCCGAGAGAGGGAACTTTAAGAGGGAGAAGAATATCCCGATCGATTCTGAGAAAAATATACCGGAAACTGGTGTGATTACGGAAGAATGGAGAAGAGATCCTAAGTCGAGAGCCGAGCACATGGCCAAGTTCACGTACTTCTTGAACCCCGCGTCTAGACCGGAGCTAATGAACTACAAGATGTCGCGAAAGGACAAGAAGCACTCGGAGACGTACTACGAGCGGATGAAGAGAAAGCAGAGAGAGCTCGAGACCTCGATCATGACGTTGACGCAATGCATGGACCGAAACAGGATCGTGGATAATAGAATCGAGGCTTCCAGAGTGGACAGATCGATCGCCACGATAGTTAAGAAGGAGAACGTTACTGAGATGAAGAAGATCGATATTCAGAAGCTTATGGAGCGTAGAAGAGATAGTAAAGTGCTGAAGAAAATCAGGGAGAAGTCTGCTCAGAGGAGGAAGAAATTGGCTCCTAAACCTTTGTCCAGGGTGCAACCTATTGTTAATCCGATAAAAGTGAACGATTGTGAGAATTTTGAGAGAAAGAAGAAGATAGAGAAATATGGAACTACATCTTCGAAACTTGATTATGGGAATAATGAATATTTGAGAAAATCGGAGAATGATGTAAAAATGATGGAAAATAAGGAATATCCGATTGTTCTTAAAGGCGATAAAAAAACGTTCTTGGTTACGAGAGTTGACGAGGAAGCTTCGAAGAGGTTAAAGGAAACGATTTATTCTTCCCAAATTACAACCGAGAGTAAAGTGAGCGCTGAAAGAGACAAATTTGATGACAAAGATGATACGAGATCGATAATTTCTAATAAGATTGACGTGAATTTACTGAAGAATCAGATATCTGATATACAAAGATCCAGGTCTATGGGTGAATTGAAAATGGAGAAAGAAATAACACCTAAAATTTTAAAACCACAGACTGATCTTGATAAATCGCAAGAGCATTCTTCTCTAAAAATTTTAAGACCAAATATTTCCTTCTTGTACACCTATAGATTGAAGAAAGCGTAATATCAATGAAGAAATAAAAGCACTATCTGTTTTCGATAATCATCGAAAAGGGACCAAGCATAAGGGGATCAATTTTAGAATATTTTCAAGATGGAATTTTGTGAGAAGAATTTGTGGGAAGAAGATACAATTAAGGACTTTAAAACACTACAACATATTACAAAAACTTTTCTCCCTTTTGCATGCGCAGAAACACTTTAAGTTTACTTTTTATTTTTTTTCATCTCTCATCACTCGATCTCTCATTTGTATCAGTTTTGTAAAAATACCTGTTTTAACTAAGGTTCATGCAGAAACGAGAATTTTTCTTCCACTGTTACTTCTGTGAGAACGAAGAAGTTAGTTGTTTTAATGTTTGCGTATTTTCTACCACTAGATTATGCACTTTGTCGTTTACTGTTTTATCGTATACTATAAGCTCGATACTGTATTAATATCGATTTTATGGCATCGATGAGGTACCGCTCGAAACGCTGAGATCGACTATCCTCGACATACAAAAGGTTTTAAATTTGAAAAAGTAGTATGTGTAAGAATTGGTTTCTTTCTTTGTCCCGATTGAAATGTATTTCTGCATGCATAATGATCTCCGTTGTTAGGATAAAGAATAGACGTAACTTATAAAGTAATTAAAAAAAGAATTTTAAAAAATTGTTATTGCATTTCTTTCTAATAAAATAAACTTTATTTATTTTAATTGATATATATTTATCTAATAGAATTTGATATAGATACTGTATTACACATTTGCGAAAATTTAGCGCTAGTTATTGAACAAGTTTGTGGATGTACAGCAAGACGAGAAAGAACGGAAAATCTTTAAAGTTTTCTTAAGAAATTTACAAATAGTTACGTCTATGTCTAAAAAAAAAAAAATCATATTTAAACATTTTTAACTCCGTTGAAATATCGTCGATATAAAATCTGAACGGAACACAGAGTTTTGTCGGTGTGTTTGTGTGGTGTGCTCTCTGTATCACAGATATAAAGGGACGTTCACACGAGTGTACTGTAGTTATGAAGCAAATACCTTTTTCTTCGAACAAAATATCGCCTTATGTCATGCTGGCTAAAAGTAGTTTGCTGTTTGTGCACTTCTGTAGATACGCAAATAGATGTAGTAATTTCTAGAACGTGTGTTACTGTTGTACCATTACAAGTTGGAATGGCTTATTCGAACTGACTTCAGTAGGAAGTGTTGATCAATTTCTAACGTTTTAATCCCGTATTTGAACGAGTTCCTGCCAAAGTCGATACGACAGAAAAATAATTGAAAATTTGAAGTGTACGCTTGTGCAACAGAATCGCAATTAGCACATGTATGTTTGATAAACGTTAGAAATGCTCCCGATGTAATTTCTTTTTTTGTGATTGCTTATTGTATTGAGACACTGATAACACAGCTGTCGAGTAGGTAACCCATTTCAATTGCTTCCCGTAAAGACAGAATAATTTATAATTTTATACACGTATTTTTCAACACGATTAACTTGAAAAAAATGTGCTAAATTTTTATCATGGATTATTATGTTTTAAATATCTTTTTTTTTTATACAGACCAAGGTAGAATATAACACACAATTTATTTGTTTGCTTAAATGCAATGTAAAAAAATATCGAATTGGCAAGATTTGTTCGAAACACTTTGTTTTTCTCGGTCTCTTTTTTACGAGGCCTTCCTCTGCTAACGATCCTCTCCTTAGAACCCTTGACAACGAAACAAGCACACTATATCGTGTTCATTAGGGCTAACTGTAGTGCGCTTTTTGTAGGTGGCACCCTTCCCTCCACTTGCTCCACCCCGCCCCCGCCCTTTGACGATGCAGTGCGCTCAAACGACCAAACCTTGGCTTCTGGTGGTCAACTTCAACACGGTGCACCGACCACAATGTTAGCGAGCAGCCTGAGCACTGCTCAATCGAAACAGAATAAGGTTGTTCACCACGTCACTCTTACAAAGACTTATCACGATGCCGTGAGGTGAGTCAAATTAATATTTGCCTTTTAATTTCCTTTCTTTAAATATCAACATTCATCGTCTATTTAAAAAATGGAACAAATATATTGCAGCATATCTGACGTGCATTTGGAAAGCAGCGGTAGCGGAAGCGGAAGCGGCGGAAGGGAAACAAAGTCGTCGTTGAGCGTGGAAAGTGGTGGAAGCAGTCGAGGAGGTGGTGGATTCACCTGGACACCACCCGCGGGCAGCGCCGAGGGCTCGACGCCCACCTGGACAGAGGGCACACCGTCCTTCACTGAGAGTTCCAGCAGCGGTGATGCAGGTAAGTTTCCGTACGCGCTCACTATCTACTACGCCACCTGAAGGCTACTACGTGCCTCGAGGATTCTCTTCTTCTTCTTCTTCTTCTTCTTCTTCGTCTTCTTCTTACTCTTACTCTTTTTCTCCTTCTTCTCTTTCTTCTTCTTCGATCTTCGTGGCGAAAGGATTTGCATCAAGCGTGACCGTTCCATTGATTGCCCTATCATTTATGCTGGCTTGTCGAGAAGGTGAAATTATATTATGTTTTATGTTCAAACTGAAAGATTATAAGAAATTGGATTTGATTTGATTTATTTTATGTAGTTTAAGCGAGATTAAATTATTTATTTATTTAGAAATTTTCTGGAACTTTATCAAAAATTATGTTGCACAAATATTGAACTATATTACCATATAAATTAACTTTGCATAACAATTTTGTAGATAAAAATTTTTTTTTATTTTTATTCTTCTTAGAACACTTATTAAAAAGATGGATAGAAATTTTACAATGTAAATACCTCTATATATTTTGTTATATGAATTTAAATATAGTTCAACACAATTTTTGATCAAGTTAACGATATTTAAGTTGATGATATTTAAGTAGGACATCCTGTACATCAAAAGAAATTATTTTCAGTTTGCTTCTTCTTTAAATATCGATGCTTTTGTAGAATAAGTTCCATTGAATTTCGCTGTAGAAAGAAAGGCATTGGCTTCGAATGTCGTTCACAGTAGAAAGAAAGATTCCATCAGGCAATAAATAGATCTTAGACACGCTATATAATTATCATTTATTATTACTTTCTCGCAAGTCTCGGATAATTAAACAACAAAACGAATCCGTTAATTTAACTGTAATACTGTATTTTTAAATCGAGTATATCTTTCAGTAAGTATACATATCGAGTTACGGGCAATCAACGTGACGCTCGCGCCAGAAACCGGAAGTCTGATTAACGTGCCACCATTTAAGGTAGTGTTCTAAAACGAGCGAAAGTATATCGTTGTCGGTCATCACATCATCATTGTCCAATATATAATTCCAACTATTGTGTTATAATCATTTATACGAAATATATTATTTTTGCTGTTTGTAAACGGGTAATCTTTCCCGTGTTAATAAGCGTGTAAAATACGTAGACCATGCACTAGTTAGCGTTAATTCGGATGTACAGTATAATCATCGAGAAAACACGGTAGATTTTGTGCGTAATCGTGAAACAAATACGTATTATTAATCACCTACATCGCTTACATTTTGCGTACCAACATATTACGTAATCCGGAACTAAAGAGGTTTTAGAGCAAATTAAGTTAGACCGACCGTTTGTTACGGTACACTTCTTATTTTACTTTATAATTTAACGAAATTAATTCTATCGTGATATCATCGTTGTAATTTACTAATTTACTAATTTATACGAAAAAATTAAAGGCGTTTCTATTGCATGCTCTTTAAATTCTCGTTCGATTCTTGTCTCTCGTTGAAAAGATATCATGTAACAAAAATTGATTATAGAAACAAGAAAAAGAATGGAAAGTTAAAATGAACGACAACAACTCAGTGCCTAAATTTAATCTTATTGCCTATGCGTTTTAAACCATATTTCGAGATTATTATTTATTTGTAAGTGTTTACAAAAGAAATACTCTTAAATACTTCGATCGTGTGTCGCGTACGAAGATGTTCGTCGTTATAGTTCGTCCTATAAGTTGAAACGATGATTAATAATGATGATTAATGCGTGTAAAACATGACGAGCATCTTCGTCGTTTTTTTTTTTTTTTTTAGATAGTTATAATGAAATGGATTAATTGTTCTCTTTGACAAGTACAATCGAACAACCGTCTTTTCTTAGCCCTGTCTAGATGATATCAATGTCTTGTCAAGTAACACTCGAACATTTTCTTTTCTCGACAATGAGAGCGACAATAAAGCGACAATTGCAAAAGAAAAATATACACGAGAACTCACTCTCTCATTATAACCTCTTATACACGTTTCTTTCTTCTATGGTTCCTTCGTAAGCAAGAACGGGCATCGCCTAGAACCGATGTTCTCTCGAGATAAGTTTCAACTTTTTTCTCTCTTTTTCTCTGTTTCTTTTTTTTTTTTTTTTTTTTTTCTTCAATTTTTTGTTTCACTCGCATACAACACCGTTATATAAAATAACTACACACGCTTTTTGTCACTCATAGACTGTTTAGATTGATAATATTAATTAGAACGATGCACGCTTTTTTCTTATCGATGCATCTTGGTAATTATAAGATCTCAAAAGAAGCATTTGAATTGAATGAAAAAGTAAATCCACGGCTATAATAATAACGATTCTTTTCCTTTTAAACGCTCCATTTTTTTAAGAAATTTAACTTCGCATTATTAATGTATTTTTGGTGGTTCTTTTGAGAGGAACACATCATCAATTAAAAATTTCTTCTCGATAGATAACGAATTTTATCACTAGACAAACACGTATCTACGCTCCAGTGATCGAGCAGTTGCAACATGTTGATCTGTTTATTGCACTATGACGATTAACGATAATTTTAGGTTGGTCGACCACACCGATCAGGGGGCGTCAGGATGATGGAGGGAGGATTGCTACCACTGTCGAGGAGGCGCTAGCCAGTCTCACTACGGAAATGGTAAGTTGGCAATCGTAGCTTTGAACGATTGGTCACTCGAAAAGGTACGCTAGCGACATCCAGAGATCGTATTAATGTTACCTCTACTCCGAATATGAAATATAAATTAACTCTTCTTTGACTGGCCAATTTATTACATTATCTTTCAAAATATTTATCAATGTTTCTACTATAATATTCTACTATAATTATTCGTTAAATATCAAATATATATAAAAAGTATAGAAATAAAAATTCAAGGATGAAATTTAACTTGTATCCTGTGCAGAATTAATTCCAATGAAAATTAAATAATTAATTAATAATTATTACAAAAAGAAAAATATATTTCTTTTTGAATATGATTATTTTATTAAACCAGTCTCACGATCTCTAATCATCATTATCGTGCCTTCCTCGACCGATTCCTCGAGGCGGTAAGTGTGCAATCAAAGCCCGGTGACCGATCGATCGGATTGTGTAAATGTTTCCCCCGAGTGGCCGAGGGTTTTTTTGTAACTAATAAACAGCCCCCAGACGACGACGCGTGACATCTGCTCCGCGATGACGAGCGGGCAGAAAGAGTTCTGTCCTCGTATCAAATTGTCGTCGTGTCTTTGGTCTCGTCTACGTATCGCTTTTGTGTCGAGTCCCTATCTATCGTATCGAATCCACAAAAGATCGCCGACTCGATCGCGCACGGAACGTTCCAAAGCGAAAATTTTTTATATAAACTTGATACTCATCTTTACAGATAATTCGAATATGAAAATCATTCGAAAATAATGCATGAGATTTTGTTTGAGATTTTTTCTTTGCTTCTCGAGCATCTTGGACTGATCTTAGTATATAGTTTACTCTTTTAGCGATCGTATTTATGATAATAAATACTTTGTAGAAGAAGTTGCATGAACAGTTAGACGAGCCTTGAAACGATTTTTTTTTTCAAGTTTAATACGTAATATTATAGCGTCTAGTATAAATACTATTCTTTGTTCGAAATCGGTCGAAATACTTCGAGACTATGATCGATTTCATAAATCATTCTACGAAGCCTTTCACAGTTATTTGCTTGCGATTCTAGATGCTAAGTTGTTGCATAATGAATATTAAAACAAACGATATCTATTTTTATTTATAAAAATCATTTAAATCGTAAATTTTTGTAGAATCATTTTGAATTCAAGATCTCGTTCAATTTCATACAAAGAATTCAAACAAAGAAGAATCATTCGATTTAAAACAAAAGAAGGTCGTTGAATTACCTATCTGTCTCATTTTTTTCCACGCGACAACCCGAACGATACTCCGATTTCGAAACATAGTGAACGAATCCTCGAATTTCTGCGTGCGAACGCATCTTAAAATTCGCAACGAACGCATCAGCGATTATTCTCTTGTGATTCAGCCAATTTTTTCACGAGTCTAGCCAAGAGTTTGCAACGCGCGAAAAAATGTCGAACACGTAAAACGCGGAGGCCAAGTAATTCCATATTAACCCAGTATCACTGTCGGCAAGAATTCGCCGGTTATGGCGAAGCATTTCAAATGATCATCTCGAGGTGAAAAACTATGTTCCGTATGGTGAACGATTTCATTAAGAATAAGTCCAAACAATCGTCATTTGATATTCGATATTTCAAATTTGGTAAGAACGATAGAATACCGCTTTGGAACGCTCCATGCGAGAAGATCAGACAATCTGAAAGGTTTCTCTATTTCCTCAAATCAGGAGATACTGCAGCACGAGTGAATGCAAAGCAACTCGTCGTCCCTCTAAGCTTCGTCGATTCAGTGAGGTTTGGATATGGGTCTGGTGCGCCGTCGTAGCGACGAATCTTCGAAAAAAAAAAAAAAAAAAAAAACGAAGGAAAAACGAGGGAAAACGAAATCGTGGAAGGGAGCGTTTGATCGCGAATCAAGACGGATGATTGAGAGTCGAGGGGATGAATGCCGAACAAACACAACGTAATTTAATCATAATCATTCCTTCTTAAGCAGTATTATCGTTACACGATTCACAAATAGTTTATCATATTCGATTCTGTACTTAACGAACACCTTCTGTGAGAAATATTCGTCTCGATTCGCGAGTTATCGAAATATTAATCATCCAATGTGTGTCAATCTCGCATTTACTCGTACGGTATAAATTTATGATTTAAATAGACGAGTTCTCGCGAAGCGAATAAGGAATCGATGAAAAAGAAAAATGATTCCGAAGCTTTGGAGATCGTCAAAGGGCCAGAAAAGCTTATACACCGTGATAAAACTCGGCCTACAGTATTAGAAGATTGTATAATACTCGACACTCGTTCAGGATCCATACATCCATCTTGGAATTGGCGAATCATTATTCCAATTATTTCTTTTTGTATATCGAGTCTCGTAGGCACTCGTTGAAATTTTAATCGACGGATAGTTAAACGTAATAACGTCACGTGTTTTGATACGTATGAATAATTATATTAATAATTAAAATTTTAGTTAATTCAATTGTGTATCGATTAATTATAAGTGTGCACGATTGCGAGATTGCAGATCGAATAGAAAATTCGAATAAGATCGTGTAAAAGTTTTGGTAATCGATAATAATAAAGATCTCATCCGATTCCGAATTTTTCCGACTCGTCTCGAGATTTAATTCTCGAATCACAGAACGATCACGCACACTTCCAATCACATTGTCTTCTGATTAATTATCCTTTTCGAAAAGTGTTCGAAGGAAAAAGAACACGTGCCATTATTACGATTAACTCGTTTTCTCGTTGCTTGTTCATATCTAGCACTATGAAATCAAATGATCATCGAATCATTGAGCTTTACGAATGACATTTAGGTTAAACGCGATGTAAGATTATCACGAGAAATATTTACTCGTATTACCTCTTATCATAACTGACAATTACCTCTTGTTACGTCAGTTAGTTATAAACTATTAAGAGGAAGGCGATCGAGGGGGATGAAAGTCGTATAGCGAGGAGATGAAACGAGTTCTATACGGCCGCGAATGAATATGTAAATAATACTTATGATCTAATTAGGAGGCAGTCCTCAATCCCGTTTTTATTACGATAATATAATCACCGGTCGTGTATATGTACCTATATGTGTCTCACGTTTTGTCTGTCTCTTCTGTACGTAATTATATATATACTTATACATATGTACACACATTAAATGAAACATGTATACCACATTTACACTCCTGTTCAAAAATCTTAAGATATTTCTTCTATTTTTGATCGAAATAATTGGATAAATTTAGATTATAATATGTTGAGTTGATAGATTTATACAATAAAGGAAGTAACAATACCAATATATTTTTAATAAAAAATTCATGATTTATATCAAATATTAAAATTTAATTAGAAATAGAAGATGTCCTAAGGATTTTGAACAGGAATCTATATCGAGATGACCGGTGAATTCTAAGATGAGCTTTGAGCTTTATTTACTCGAGATTATTATCATACAGAATAACGTTACAGATATTTTTTACTCGGGAATTTATTCTATTTCGAAAAATTTAAGTCTTCCAAAATTTATCTCGATAAAGGAAGATTCTCGTTTCAGAAATATTTTATACAACTAATAAAAAAACAAGATTGGTAAAGGAATAAAAAAGATTACAAATTATTTCAAAGCTCGAAAAAGAATTCTCTGACCACTTCGATGCATATTATAAATATAACAACTGCGCAAACTGTATTATACGTGATACGATAAAGGAGAGTGATTGACGGGAATTCCGATGGTGTACGTATTATATATATATATGAATGAGCAAAAGTTTATATATATATAAATATTACAGTAGTCGCAGAACAACAAAAGAAAAAAAAAGAAAAAGAAAAAGAAAAAAAAGAAATTATGTAAACGCGTTGCTAATAAGCGTGAGAGTTATCGTGAACGTTTTGAAAAAAAACCAAAATGTTGTTCAATTACACGTACATACACGTATTATAATATATTGTCCTCAATGAAACGCTTTTGACAGTCGATATATTGTATTTAGGAAAACGGTGGTAAAAAAAAAAAAAAATCTAGTCGCATCTCGGTGATCGGTCCATATTATTTCCTTCTTTCTCCGAGAACATTTTATTTCGTAGCTTTAATCGCGTCTTTCGCTCTCTACATTTCTTTCTTTAGCTTTGTGTAAAAAAAAAAAAATTCACTTCGTTTTTTAAGTTAGCGTAGTTGTTCTCTCCTTTTACTTTTTCTATTTCTATATTGTGATCAATATACTAAGCATGTTTCGAAATTAATTCGATGTGTTACTTTGTTCCCTATTTTTCAATCTACGATTTAACCATTGAAATCCAAGGCAAGTAACAATGAATAAACGAGCCATTTAACAAATGCGTTTCGATAATCATTCAGTGTAAATTTCTTCGAATACAAATTGATATTTACACTCACATCTCCAACGAAAATTCTATTATTTCCATTGTGATCGATTTTCAACGAGGAAACGTGACTCGCGCGAAACGTAGTAGGTATAAATACTCGATAAGAAGCAAGGAACAAACTTACGCGTCACGTTTGCTATGCCTTTTCGTTTCAAAGGTTGAATCGATGAAGAAAAGCTTTATTCCTCCCCGTGGACATAGATTGAATGGCCGAGAAAAAAATGGAAAACAGAAGCTTGATAAATTCGTAGCTTTATTAAACTCGAGATACTCTTTCATGGGGTACCATCATGGTATTATCATTATTGTTATAATATAAATATCGTAGCTATTATAACGAAAGGACAGTAACAGTGTTTATTAGCGATCTTGAAAGTGTGATATTTTTTTAATGAACATATCGCATCGTACGTTCAAGTTCTGCGAGTGATTTCAATGCTTGCACACTTGGAGGGATGCTTCAAGTAATAATTCAGGGAGGATTAAGATGAGATTTAGATCAAGATCGAAAGAAACGCGCTTGGAGAAGATTTCGTGCCAATTGAATAAAAATAAAATCCTATACTTAATCTTACGATAATCATTGTATTAAAATTAAATAAGAAAAAATATAATAATGTTTTCAATAATATGAAATTGGTTGCCAACCTTATTAAAAGAAGAAAGATTTATCTTTCTTCCGTAATTATTAAAACATTCATAGAAAAAAGATTATGCTTTAAACGAGAAAATAAAAGAAAAATTTATTAATGATTCTCTCTAAGCGCAATCGATCGAAGATCGAAGATCCGTCGCTTTTTACGCTTCTCTTTGTCGCATATTTTAATTGTTTGACGATGATCGTTTACAAGTTGTTAAACCGGCATATACCATATATCTTCCATCTGTTGTTGTTTCGTGTGTGCTTTGATCGATCGTGTTAATCCTCTCACGTTAACCTCCTGTTTTTAATTAATTCGATTTATCAAAATTATCTGTATTTCTCCCTTTGATGTGTTCCCTCTTCCACTGTTTTCTTATTCCAGTTTTCATTTTGCAACTAATCTGATTAATCTTAATCGTTTCACTGTATTTATTTGCATCATTAAAAGCACAACTATACGAAGTCAATCGAATGAATTCTCATTGGAAGCAATAGAAATTGAAGTGATAGAAAAGAATTGATATTTTTTGTGCTCGAATTCAGAAAGAAACGAACAACATTGCGAAGGGTCTTGTGGAACAGAGAAGATCCTTTTCGTCGTACACACGGGTGAGAACGAGTTTCAAACGCGGCGGCACGAACGGGTCAATCATAAGGAGCTTGCAAAGAGTGTTGAGCGTACAACGTCGGGAGCCATAAGGATGAACAGAAACTGGGGCTATAGGACGAATCGAAATATTTTAGAAATAATTCAACGATGTTCACGCGTATATTTCGTATATAGAAAGATGAATGGAATTGAAGAAAACCAAAAAGCAATTAATTAAAATTATCATCGAAATCTGTGATCACGCGGAAATGTTTAAAAAAAAAAAAGAAATTTTTTCCTTTGATATTGATTATCGTTAGAGTAAACGATATTTTTAGCTCCTTTTTATTTATCGGTCATCTTTTTTAATATACGATCGTAAAACTTAGCGAATAATCATGCCTGTTTAACCGGTTCGAACGATAATCGGGCATAACTTTGATCTTAATCCTCTCGTGATTGTAGATCAGCCTTGCGTCTAAGTGTCTACTTAACTAATTGCATAAGATTTTATTATTCTAATTTTTCTTTTTTCGTTGCTTCAAAGTCATTGCGTTATATATACTTTTTGATAATCGTGCGAACGAATAAGAAAAGCCTCGCGTTAAAGGAATTAATCGAAGCAATATCGAGAAGAAGGGAGACTTCTTCGTATGATTTTGTAATGTTGATGAAAATGTGCCAAGGAATTGGCGGGATAAATAATAGCGATTCTATGGAACGGATCGTTTCGCGATTATTCGCGAACTTTATTCCTCTTTGTGCTTCTTTTTCAAGTTCTCGAGATTTTTTACCTGTTCGCGTTGTTTTCGAAAGATGACGAAATTATAGAGGAATCTCGAGGACTCGAATTTCTACAAAGAAAAAGGTAAAGAAGTGGAAGAAATTCTCGTCGAATTTTGCAAAATATGCTTTACGAATACTTTGATATAGTATTCGTTAAATTTCTTTTACATTAGTCTTATATACAAAAATTGTATTAGCTTTCGATGGAAGATTGTTCATGTTTACTCCGACTTTATTATTCGAAAATCAATCCTCTTTGAAATAAAATTTCGGAAAAACGTAGTAGTTTCGAGGAGATTTCTGATATTATGAAGAAATCGTGAAACCAAACGTGCCATTGAAAATGTGCGTAGAAAGAAATACAAGGTTATAAGCCGCAATCACGGCTAATTGCTATGATTCGAATAATTAACCCTTTAACCGAGCAATACGTGTCAATCGGATGACTAATGTTTACAACTTTAATCGAGTCACATTAGTATTGATTTTTTAATAAGTTTAATGTGGATTTTCATATTTTATTTCTAGGTATTATTTTTTTTTATTATCTTTTATCCATAATAATTATTTTTATATCTAAAATAAATTACTCGGTTAAAAGGTTCGAACAAAGGGTAAATAACGGTGATGGATCGGTTGTACTCGTTCAATATGTATCTTTCTTACAACAAAATTCTAATTTAAGCATTAATTGAAACATTCTGCTACTATTTTTAACAACTTCTCAGGAACCAGAATTTCTTTTTCTATTTTTATCAGACGAAAGAAAAAGAAACGGAAAACATCCCCGCAACCGATCCATTTCTGTTCTTCATTTAAGAAGCGTACTAAGGGAAACGTATAAATATTATACATACGTTGACAAGTTAATGAAAACAATACGAAAATATTCAATGCATAATGCGAGCGATCGTTCAACTGTTACAAGACAAATTTGTCACTTAACCGAGTTATTTCGGCAATACATACTATTATGATTATTATCATTACCATTATGATTATTACTATCTCACCATGATTACTGATATTATTTAAATAAAGCAGTTACTATTATTCTTACGATTGTTTCTGTTATCGTCTCTCGTCTTTCGTTGTCTTTTTAAACGCGATTTCGTATGTCGGGGGTAATTCCTTATTTTTATTATTATTTGAGCGTATACGTGAGCCATATAAATATCAGAAATCAAGATTAATTTTAATTTAATTATTAATTGTTTAGCAATTATAATTTTTCGAAAAAATCGATCCGTTTTGTTTCAAAATGGCTCACGTGTACTATCCTTGTTAAAAAAAGATCGATCGTCATATATCCTTCACCCTCGGCGCACTTTATTTTCACTTTTTTTTTCTTTTTTTTTTTTTATCGAAATTTTTTTCTTATCCTGGTTTCTTTTATTTACACCCGTTTCAGACCCACCTGTAATCAAGCAAAAATGAAGATAGTTATAAACAAAGAATCAAACAGAAAAGAAAAATACAAAATACAAATTTGTATGAGAGAGAGAGAAAGAGATAATTGACTGCAGAGCCTGTGAACCCTCGATGTTGGCGCATTTAGAAATCCTCCCCTTCCGGAATTAAATGCATTAGGACGTTGATGTAAGTTCAACACAAAAAGCAGGCGTATACAGTAGTGCGTGTTAAACTATATTTATAGGGTGTACCGAAAATATCTAATCACGGAAAAAACTTTTACATTTCCGTGAAAAAAAAAGCAAATTGAAATTGAAAATTGTTTTTCAATTGTATACTCTTCTTTGTATTACATCTTCGTTATAATCTTTTGTTATTCTTTAATAATTAATTTCTTCTCAGAAATGCAATTAATTCTATTCTATTTTTTGTTATTTTTCTTTTTTTAATACAGTTTTTTATTCACAATACCATAAGAAAAAGATAATTTCGGAACACTTTATATTAGAGAATAAGAGATCGATTCGAGATACCATTCTTTGGATTCATTTCAGATTTTTCCACTTTTTCTTTAAAAAGTTTGAATAAATTGATGATATAAAAATCATCTCGAATCGATGATAGACAATTTAGTTATTTATTTTTCTATTACTTTACTGCCATGTACCGCCAGGAAGTTACAGTTTCCCTCGCAGGACTCTCATTCTGGCTCGAATGTACAGACAACGATGGATAAAACGCATGATTTCTTAGATTCTTTTTCGGAAAGACTGCGTGCGTTTTTTTCCTTAGTTTGTTTTTTCTTTTCTTTTTCTTTTTTATTTTTTTTCTTCTTTTTTTTTTATTAAATTCGTCATTTCTTCGACGAATCTGGATATTATACACATGATATTTTGATTATGTGCAGCTAGATTTTAAATCGTGTCGTAGAATCTTGAATCGAAAAGAGTGATTTGAAAAAAGATAGCAATATTCTTTTTTAATATAATTATTGTCGTTTAAAACAGCTAGTGAATCCATTGAAAATTGTTCATTCCGTGGCTATATACGTGTACAGTGCACACTTTGTACATTTAAAGAATTAATATATTATCCTAGCCCTGTACACTAAGATTAGTCCGTGAACTTAAAATCTTGTTCTATCATTTTTAATCGTCCAATCGAAAATACTCAAATGATTGCATGATATTCGTTCAATGATCTATCTGAAATTTAAATTAATCTGATTAGTGATTTATCTTAAATTCTTCGCGCTATTTATTAAATAAATGAAGTGAAAGAAAGTTATACACGAATTTTACAATATCGAATTCAACAAGAAATTCTTAATCGTTCACTTTATTATTCTACGATTAAATTTTTTCTCGAGAAAGTTTCATTACGAAGTAAGATGTATGCATATCTCAAAATCGTTTAATTCGTTTGAATCGCGCTTTTCCATACGAATTAAATGATTACTCGATGATTATTTTTGGCGGAAAACCAAATTATGAAAAGAAGATAGATTCCATTCGGATTCTATTCGAATATAATGCAAGCATCCAGCTCAACGAGTATTGCCATCGAGAAAAACAAACGGAATCGTTTACATTCGATTATGTATTCGGAACTCGGTACGCTTGAATATCTTTTAAGTGTTTCTCACGACGTTCCTCGAAAATTTCTAAAAAAAAAAGAAAAAAATCGCGTTATCACTGCTGTATATATATATATATATTTACTAGGGGATATTACGTGCATGTATAAACAGAGGTATATATGTTTGTATATTATAAATATGTACACACGAATACTTACACATGTTCACACACGCATACAGATTTACAAATGCCAGATTTTATCATGTACGTCGATGCATTTATTATGGCGCGTGCGATCCTGTGTGTACTCTTGTATTTTCTTCGAGAGTTCAGAATCTTGATACCTCATTTTATTTGTACACGGCCGATCGCAACGACAATGTACGATATAAGGGTGAATAAATTATTATTTCGTTCTATTTATTTATCGAGGGACTTATCGGTGGTCTTTCGTATAGAAAGTCTCCGAGTCTTACGTGGGAAGATTTCGTTCGATCCTGGAGGGAGATCTTCCTCTGGCAATAATTGTTATAATAATAAAGTTTGCAATTATATTTCCGTTGTAATTTATATTTCTTCCTTCTTCGTTTCTCTTTCATTCCTTGTCCTTTGATTTAGATTTAATTTACTGAT